TAAGAAAAAAAGAAAAAAATGATGGTGGAGGATACATGCCTCAATACGTTTCGTTGAAACCAATTTAAAATGAAAAAAAGAAAGCAAAATAAGCAGGAGAACTTTTTTTTAAAAATTATTACTTGTCTATCTATTTCTATCAAAAAAATTATTCTCACCTAATAATTAGAAGTCAGAAAAAAAAGAAAAAAAAGCTTTTATTAATGCTTTTCTTTATTTTTTTTACTAAAAATGAAAGAAAAATTATTTTCAGGTAAGCAAAAATATATATTGAACAATTAAAGAATCGCAATTCTATACTGAACACTTTAATTTGGCTAATTCTAAGAAACCAACAATTAGCAGAACGATGAAATGGCTAAAACAAATTTTTTATTCGTTTCTTTGCTCTGCTAAACCAAAGCGATTGATTATTTGAAGTAAAGATACGAATAAAAAAACAGAAAATTAGTTCAAAAAACTATAACTACCAAATGCAGTCAGTAAATGAGGTTGTATAGAAGCGCATAATAACAGATAATATATCGAAACTATACAGCTAGACCGTGAATTAATCTAATATATCATAATAGTCAACTTTTGCAACTTATATTTTTAACTGCATGAAGATGGTAGGTGATGTAAAATCAGCTAAAAGTGCTGTCAAACTTTTAGCAGTCGCACCGAATGACTGAGAAGGAATTTAAAAAAGCAATCAGTTGTTTACTGAAACGATAAAAATTTCGGATCTAATATAAGCAATAAAACTGCTGTATTGATAGCTTAAAACAGTAAAATAATATGGGCAAATAATAAATAATAACAAAAGGCTTGAATGTCTTCTCATCTTCAATTCAACTTCATTAAAGTCTCAGCAGTTTTAATAAAAAGCAAGAAAAAAAAAATTATTTTTACGGTACTACATTTAAAAGTTAAGTTGTCACCGATTAACACTCAAATTCTGACATATATAATCGTTTTTGCATGACAGAAGAGACAACAAACAAATTCATGATCCAAGTCAAAAGTCATCAATTTTCTTTGTCGTCTCCAGCTAACACCAAAACTTGCTATATGTCAGTGTTTTATGTTCTCTTTACTGCGGCTATAACAAACAACTAAGCAGCTTGGAGATA